GAAAGTAAGGGACTTATTTTAATGCAAATGATCTTTTCTGCAAAGACACTCCACCAAATCCATGAGCAGGCATCCCCCCAGGCCTCCCAAGTGTCCAAAGTACAAAGCAGAAGGTCGTTGAGAAACCACAAGCACTCCTTTTCCATCTCTTGAGGTTGTTTCTTTCTATGCATGTTGCTTTGTTCCTTCTCAGCTGCCAGCTTGCTCTCTCTCTGTTACTCAGACCACATTCCTGGTGGAAAAATAATAGCCATTGGCCTCTGCATTCCCCGGTTCTACTTCCAGCCACAATGCAAGTGTCTATCTTTCTGAGTCCTAATCCCCAATTCCCAAACAAGTCATTTCATTTACTCAGTGTGTTCCAACCTGGTGTAGCCAGAGGGCAGGGCCATGTGTGTAAAATTAGGCACTTATGTGGGCAACAGGAAAGAAAGGCAGTTCTCATAAGCTTTGCAGACATTCCCCCAAAGGTATCAACTTTTGTCTCCATTGGAACATTCTAACCAGCAAGATCACAAATCCAATCAGGTTATCTGCAGAGCAGGACCCTAATCTGGCACTGTAGTAATCTACCCTGTCTTGTTTGGAGATACCACCTTCTAACCAGGGAGGAAGTAGTGTGCCTAAATTGGTAACAATGAAGGAAGACATCTATATAGAATATTCTCAAATACCATAGGCCTCCAAAGTACCTCCTGGTTCTGGGTACTACGACCCATTTCAGCTTGTAGCTTCCCCCAGCTGGCATCCTGGGATCAGGCCCCGGGAGCTGCTTCTGTCCTAAGCACCCAGGTGATTCCAAGGCTGTGGTCCTAGGCCAAACAGGCCGCAGCAGCTCTACTTTAAGAATAAAGTAGGCCAGGTGCGGTGGCTCACACCTGTAATCCCAGCACTCTGTGGGGCTGAGGTGGGCGGATCGCCTGAGCTCATGAGTTCCAGACCAGCCTGAGCCAGAGCAAGACCCTGCCTCTAAAAATAGCCGGGCGTCATTGCAGGCACCTGTAATCCCAGCTACTTGGGAGGCTGAGGCAAGAGAATCGCTTCGGCCCATGAGTCTGAAGTTGCTGTGATCTATGATATCACACCACTCTATGGGGGTGACAAGGTTCCCCAGAACCACATTGTCTTTGGGATTTAGGTCTGTATTGAGTTAACGATAGTAAAGAGCAGAGAGGGAGACTTTGGGGGGAACTCCTGTATTTCCTAGTGTCTGCTGGCAGCGGGAACTCAGAAGGTATATCCCAGTGTCCTGTTCCTCTAAGCATCGGCTGGAATGTCCTTGAATTTCTGATGTCCTTCTGATCCTTGGTTCTATTCTTTAACTTTTAGGATGGAAAGAGATGCAGCATTTACACAAAAAAAGGGAGAGAGGGCATGCCTCAGAGTTCATCTCAGAGAAAAGTACAGGCTCCCAAAGGTAAGATTGCTACTGAACACAGTAAGCATCTAATTGTTTTTTAATTAATACAAGACATAGCGTGTTTGATTATCAACTAAGAATCATGCTCGTGGATATGTGTGTGTGTGTTAATCTTAACAGACGCATTCAATGTAGTGAAAAGTACCTTGAACTTGGAGTGCATAAATACTTGATTCTAGTTGTTGTTTTTTTTTGTTTGTTTGTTTTTTTAGAGACAGAGTCTCACTTTATCACCCTTGGTAGAGTGCTGTGGCATCACAGCAACCTCCAACTCCTTGGGCTTAGGCAATTCTCTTGCCTCAGCCTCTGGAGTAGCTGGGACTACAGGCACCTGCCACAATGCCCAGCAAGTTTTTTGTTGCAGTTCGGCCAGGGCCAGGTTTGAACCCACCACCCTTGGTATATGGGGCCAGGACCTACTCACTGAGCCACAGGTGCTGCCTTTGATTCTAGTTTTTAACTTAACCTGTATGAACTTCCATTTTTGCTCAAAAAGGAAAGTTATAGATAACATTTAAATGTGATTATCTAAAGAACATAGAACTTCTATATATGAATGGGGACAGTAATCTTAGCTGACATTTATTGATTGAGCTCTCATTAGGTGCCAGGCAATGTGCTGTGCACGTATCAATTCATTTGGGTTCTGTTATCACGTCCATGTTACAATAATGGAGGAAACAGGCATGAAGAGGGTGAGCACCCTCCTGCCACAGGCCAAAAGGCCAGGAAGGGCAGAGCCCAGGGTCTTAACCTCTGTGATATTCTGCCTCTATTTGAAAGAAACGATTGACTGCCCAAGCACCGACTGAGAGGATGACTGTCTGTAGGTTCTGGTTGAGGGGTAGGTGGTTTACTGGAGGGAAGAGGGTGCATTGGCATGCTATGGCATGTGGCTCAGATGTGCTGATCCAGGCTTGTAACCAGTGGTGACAGAGAGCTCTGCACTTTGCTACTCTGGTTCATTTCTCCTGTCCCCATTATGTTCCTCACTACCCCCACCCCACCCCTGACCTGGGGGACTGCAAGATCCTCTGAATGACTCCACCTTCATAAATCTTGTTTAAGATGAAGCAGACATTTATTACATACACACAGGACTAGCTAGACATGCCTCTTCCATAAAGGTTGAGCTTTTGAAGGATTTATTTTTGACAACTATTCTGTTATATTTCTGTAGGGATCTTAGAAGAACTGGGTTTTAATTCTGGCTCTGGCTCTGTGAGACAGTATAACTCCAGGTGGCTATCAAAAATATCTGAGCTTCAGTTTCCTCATCTATAAAATGAGGGCAACAGTACCTAACTTCATAGAGCCTTTGTCTGAGGTAATCTAATGTAAAGGACCTAGTACAGTGCCTGACAAATGGTACGCGCTCAATAGATGATAGCTCTTACTATTGCTGTTATAATCTCTGTGCACAAAACTCTTATTTCTTAACAATAACAACCAGAGGTCTTGAGGACCACAAGCACACTTGTGTGTAATCAATGTAACAACTCCAAGTCCCTGAACCTCAAGACTGAACTTTTGATTTTCTTTCTTATCTACTAGTGGGTCAGAGGTCTTGCTCATTTCCAGATGTTCAGCAGTGAATACTTTGAAGGTTAGGAGCAAGGTTTAGTTGCTCTTCAGAGAAAAAGTAACTCCCAAATCTCTGTGCCAAGCCATCCTTTGGGACAAGAGCCTTTTCAACAGAAACTATGAAAAGAGGAAAGAATTATGGCCATGACATGTGCAAATTCAGATCCTCCTTGAAGAATGATAATGACTCTATCTGCCTAGGCTACTGCCCTCTGAAGCCAGCTGGAGAGATGGGGAGACACAAAGAAAGACAATAAATTAACAGTGGAGCCCAGTATCTCTGATTGCATGCTCCCTGAAGCTCAGACATCCACTTTTTCTGTAGCTGTCTCAAATGCATAATACCTTTGAGAACTTCACCTGATTTTTTCATGGACCCCTGAAAGAGACCTTGGAGTTCATCTAATAATCTAACCCCACTGCTGCCTCATTTTAGACCTGAAGAAACTGCAGCCCAAGGTTAGACAACTTTGCAATAACCTACCAAGATTCGAATTTAGATTCTCAACCATGAAAAAGAGCAACTTATTCACAAAAGAATGTGAACACAGCTCTCTCTCTCCCCAAGGGGGTCTACTCTTTCTACTCTTAGTATTTGAACTGTCCCCAAAAACTTTAGGGCAGTTTTGAACTCTACATGACTTAAAACTGCTCCAAGACGTTTGCGACAAACTGCCTGGCCTCAGTATTTCACCGAGGTATCCTTGAGGTCTACACCCAGGAGTGGGGGAGGGGAGACCATCTTCTATTTCCTGTGTTGTCCTAGACTTGCAGGTGGCTGCCTAAATTCCAAATACAATCCAAATAAACAGGTGAGGATTTCATTTGAATGTGTTCCACACTTGCATAGTTCATTTCAAAGTTTACTTCCAGATGGGAGCCCCCTCCCCCCATTTTTTGGTTGCATTTTATAAAAAATGAATTCTACACATAATGATTCAAGAATTGCCTATACTAAAAAGACAAATGATGACAATTGCCTGCTTTTTGTAAAGCACGTGGTAATTCTAATCCAGTGTAACTATCCATAAAAACAGTACTTAACAGGAACTAGACCATCAAAAACCAGCCAGGACACAATCCACTTGGTCCCAAAGTGGCTGCTTCGCAACCTCAACCTCGATGTGGCACCGTGGGCTTGCACTCCAGCCCCAACCTTGGGGACCTCTCGGCTCCCTGTACTGTTACATGGCACTCTGTGTCCTCCTCCCCACCCACCAAGGAGGCTCAGGGTGCTGCCGGCTTTAGACAGCCCAAGTGGCTAGAGAGAAGATCTAGAGGACAGACACACTTCCCAGGCTGGCAGCCCGAGGGTGGCGGCTCCCTCCTCCTGGAGCAGCCCTGCCTGCCCCAGCCCAGCTGGCGTACAGCGGCTGCAGCCTGCGCTGCCCCGGGTCCCTGACGCCGGGCGCCCCCTCGCGTTCCCAGGTGCAGGGCCACCAGCGTCCCCGCAGATGTGGCAAAACCCCGCCGTGGGTCACAGCAGAACCAGGATGGGGCAGAAATAAAGTTATGAAAGTGACTTTAAAAAAAAAAAAAAACCATTATTTTGCCATTAAGGACCAGACTGTGCATTCCCTTCCTCCCGTGGTCTATTATACCGGGAGAGTGTACCAGGAGGGAGACAGCTCGCAAACAATCCGGTTTTAGGGAGTGTGTACCGGGAGAGAGACGGCTCCGGTTTTAGCTGTAGCAGCGGTAGCCAGGGATAGGAGAGATTGTGAAACGACAGGACTTGGAATATCCACACATGAGAGGAGATGATTGGGGAAATGAAATCATTTCCTGGGCCTTTGATTCTAATACTGAGTCCTGCCAACCAACCCAGAGTGCCTGGGCACTGGGCGGTACTGACCAGAGGAAGCCCTCACAGTGAAACTTTTAGACACCAGAAAACCACAGTGGGAATCTGCGCTGTAGATTTTCATCTCCTAGGTTCCTAAGTCATTACCTGGGCCCCTCTGTGGGCTGGCATCTGGGTTCTCCCAGGACCATGGCAGCCATTGCTCCCACCCACTCCTCTGAATACTCTCCCTAGCAGGTGCGGGTTCTGGGTGACCAAAAGACTTTGACTCCTGGACTCCAATGTCTGAATGGTGTTTCTCTTTTATTAGACTTATTCTTTACATCCAGAAAAGATGTGTACTCATCATGTGATGGTAAGAATCATGTCAATTCGGCAACAGCCGAAGGTCACAAAGCTGCTGTGACAGATGGGGCTTCCCATCCTTATTCTTTATCCAGTACTTTTTCGTGCCCCATTGTCCCCATAGCCCCTCTAAACTGTACCTCATTTGCGGCAGTGGACTTGAGAGCTGAACACACCCTCTAACAAAGAAATGGCACTGGGCAGAAAGCTGAGGTCACCAGGCTTCAGTGAGCTCCTAATAACCGTCTGCTCCCCTGGCAGTTTGCAGACTGCTTAGCCCTGTGCCATCCCTATTGGGTAAGCACTTAGAGGAGTATTAGCAGTCCACAGGGAATTGGATGAATTTAACACGTCCTCTAACTAACAAGGGATGACCCCTGGGTCCCTCATTCACAATTCCCCAGGGTCCCCACCACAGTGGTTACATAACGGCAGGTTCAGCTCTGGGGCTTTCCCCTTACTGTGGCCCAATGGGGAGCAGATTTGAGAAAATGGCTTCCCTGGGAGCTGTCAGGTCTAATGAGGATGACTGTGTCACATTTGGGAATTAGAACAGTATTTTCCAAAGAAATTATTTGGCTAGTGTTGCCTATGAAAAGGAGTTTCACTCTATTGCAGACCAGGAAAGCAAATCTGGTCTCTTTGCAAAGGAACAATGTAGCCTTAGCCCTCTAGACGGACAGATGCCTCCAGTCCCAACTTTATTGTTAATTGTTAGTGACAATACTATTTATGGTACCGAGACTTTTGATGACCATTGTTTATTTCATCAATAAGATAAGTAATTAAACAAGTACAGGAATCAAATTGCAGTCATCTGCAGCGTGTATGTCTGTGTCTACAGCAGTCATTATCATGTTCATGTACACATATCCAGCCAATGTTGATTTCCTCTAGTTTTCAATTTATAGGTTTTTAGAGGACTTAAAATGCCTAAAGAAACCCATGATACTCACATTAGATTTGGATCTCACCCTACTAATTATTCCTAATCCATATCTTCAGTTTCTCCTTCTCGACCACCTCTCCTATGTAAAGAGAATCAAATCTCTCCCAACTAAACAACTAAATGGCAGTTTTTGAGTAAATATGCTTTTCTAGGTATCTTCCCTTCAATGACTCTGGTTCCCAGTGCTCTGCTGAAACCTTCCTTCAGCTCTTCAGTATCTGTGTAAATATCGTAGATGACTCTGCCATGTTTCTTTTTGGGCCTCCTTAACGCTGGTGGTTGCTTGCTCTTTGAAGCCCGCCCTTTCCTTAGCTG